CATAGATTTGTTAAAGGGGTTGAATTAAGAGAATCTAGTCAACAAAGTGTATCTTACAAGGAGTTGTTAAAAGTCTGCACTTGTCCAGAGATCTCATCAGTTGTAGTAGTTCTGGAGCAGGTGTTGTTCCAACCACATACAATACCCTGTAATAATGGCAGCACTCCAGCTGATGGCATAGCCTTGCCTTCATAGTGACCTGAAAACATACAATACTCTGTAATAATGGCAGCACTCCAGCTGATGGCATAGCCTTGCCTTCATAGTGACCTGAAAACATACAATACCCTGTAATAATGGCAGCACTCCAGCTGATGGCATAGCCTTGCCTTCATAGTGACCTGAAAACATACAATACTCTGCCTTAATAGTGACTTGAAAATGAGACACTAACATAAAATTTTCATTCCATACACAATAATAGTTTGGCTTTTATATACTTTGTATGTGAGTGTGCAAGCTTACTTTTTCTGATATCAGTAAGTCAACTAAGTAATTCTTATATACAAGTAACCAAGGTCACTATTTCTGATATCAGCATAAATACAAGTTAATAAGGTTTGACATTTGCCAAATCAATCCACTTACATTCATGTCTTGCTTCATTGAGTTGCCGCGTCTTCACCAACACTAAAATCAAGAACAATGCCAGAGGCCACAACAATTCTATCACCAGTCTCACCTGAAGGGAAACACAATGGTCTTAGATTATATTTATGAAACAAAAAGAATTTACCTGGAAATAAAAGGGGTGAAAATGTGTGTAAAGATTCAGAAGTTCAATCTTAATGTTCACAAAAGATACATTATTGCTTGAGACTATTTAGTTTAAAGGCATGAGTTTGTAAATTATCTAAAAGCAAGCTTTATTAAAACAATATTTAAATAAGAAATATTTTACTCACTGGCTGTCTTTTTCTCAAAGTAAAATTCTTCCACAGAAGTAGTCTGAGTTGACTTCCAAATCCCATATTTGTGAGTATCCTAAGATCTAGAAATTGTGAATAAACTTCAATTTCATTTTTATAAGAAGCAAACTTTTGTGTTATAAGAAATATAATGAGTGTTCCTAATTCATTGTCGATCGATCTTATTTATTTTTGCAAAATCCAACAAAATATTGGGTGATCAAGGCCCTGTAACTGGAAAGCATCATATATTGTGAATAGCGATATCACATAGAGGCTACATTGTAGTATATGGGGCAAGTGTGGGCGAGTTATGGAATTGAGATGCTTGCGCTCGGTCGCAATGTGTGATGCTTTTGAGTAACAGGGCCCAGGGTGAAGGGTTTTTCACTTTTCAGTAATGATCAGAAGTAGTGTTCAGTGCCTTGCTGAATGTGACATCTAATCACAAGAAGGTCACCCAAGAGCCCATTAAGTCTGATATATTTAGGGGGATAGGAGTCAGTCATCATAGCAAGTAGTGAGATAGCCATAATCAATCACATGACTCAAGGAAAACATATATCATATTCCTTGAGGTAAAAATACACTTCACTACCTAACTAAGTGGGAGCTACATGAGTGGTTCACAAAGTGAAACTAGTATGGCCTGTATGGGTATTACTGTCATCATCACATGGACGCTGCAACACATGAATCTACTTGGAAAAAACATGAAACATGAAAATTTGTCTGGACCGGTAAAAAATTGGACTTGGTCGGTCCAAAGCACCGACAAGAGTTTTAAGAGCAGCAATTTTGAATTTACAGTCATCAATCGACATACTTCACTAATAAAATTATATAAAATCCAAAGCTTTTTTCCCTTCCATTTCAAACCTATCATATTCACAAACAAAGTACTAGTAAGCTACCACTCAAACGAATAGGGTGATTTTTGGTCCGACTAAAATCCATTTTATCAATTTTTCATTACTGCCAGTCCAAATGTCCGGCCATTCTGAAAAGTTTTTAGCATGTCTGAAAAAATATTTGCACAAAACAACCCTTTTGACAATATGTTCCTTGTTACAATGTCCATGAAATAAGTTGTCCAAAACTGCTTCATTAAGGCTCAAGATGCTAAAGACTGATGTTGGATGTCAGTATAATAAACAGTAAATCACTGGTTTAGAAGGCCAAGTATAATGTATACTCAGACACATCCTATACCCTTGCTATACAACCTCGTTACTAATATGAAAATTTATTGATACACTGTGTGTACATCAAAAAATAGCAATCCCTGTCAGCACTTTATGCACTCCTTGTAAGAAATTTTATTTTGAGCTCCTTAAGTTACGTTGACACTCTGCCTGTTGCTTTTCCAGAGCTGCTTTTTGGTAATGTCTCCCTTTGATGATACAACATACCTAACAAACTTTCCATCCTTTTAAATACAACTTGAGAACTAATGCTTAAGCCAAACTTAGACTCTTCTTGAAACTTATAAATACACTACATGTATATTTTACCTTTCAACATTTTAGAAGGTTCTTCTTTCACAATTTTTACCAGCCACAGACTCTCCACTTTGCAAAGCCAATTAGAGTTCACTTTGCAAATCCATTTAGAGTTCACTTTGTAAATTCATTTAGAGTTCACTTTGTAAAGCCATTTAGAGTTCACTTTGTAAAGCCATTTAGAGTTCATTTTGTAAAGCCATTTAGAGTTCACTTTGTAAATCCATTTAGAGTTAGGAACCCACAATGCAACATGAATCTATGTTTTGATGTTTACACAGCTACTAAAACTTGGCTATCCAAAGTTTTATAGATAAATAGCTAGGGGTTGGGGGGAGATCCATTTTCTCTATCACCTGGATCAGGTGTTGTTCATTAAAACCACAAATGAAGAAGCCTACTTATAAAAGCAATTATTACAAACAATGCCTGCAGTTAAAATGATAGGTATCTCTGTTCCCATGACAACATTAGTGTTCAGGATGGTATTCACACAATGACATAATATGGCTATGTCTTTGGCATTTCCTGATTTTCAGCAGCCAATTACAATAGTTAATTAAACTTGTCAATAAGATCATCAAATAAGTGTGATGTTTGGAGGTGCTCTAAGATTTGTTTTTGACATTCTTTGCTTAGGGGTGCATCATTAAATACTCTTCAAATCTTTGGCCCACGTGTATTTTGTTGTTCCCACTGAAGATATAACACACTGAAGACTGGTATTTTGGGTATTACTGAAATAATTAATTTCTGGCGTCCTCTTTGAAAAAAACGTCAAACAAAATGAAATCTTAATTGGCAGTTGTTGCATCTGAGACAAACCTACCTTGCTAACATATCGTGGCAGGACCAATGTTGCTTACTAGTGTGTCATGACAAAAATGACACAGCAAACGCTGATCGTAATAAACTCGTATGTAAACACATATACTGTACATGTAACAGGGTTACGAAACAGACAATCAATACATAAAGATTACTGAGTCTCCTTACAATCTACACCAACAAGAAAAATGTAGATTCTACAAAATTAAGATTACCTTTAACTTAATGTCTATAAGGGAATGGATTCCATCTTCTGAGATCATCAGTTTAGCTCTGTCATATCCTGTATTGTAGTCAGCCTATTTTTTGACCTCGGTTTACGTGCACATGTCCTGTAATGCTCTTCACTCAGACGTTTGTTTATGTAAACCACTGCAGGAGAATTCATGCGCGAGAGTTCTGAATGAATTTACATAACTGATAAAAACAAATGAATCGTTTATAATCATTGCCTGATACCAAAAAATGCACTTAATAGATATTCTGAGTACATTTCATAAGTTACTTTTGTTGTGACGAGGGATAAACTTGGTAAATAAAACGCGAACTAGATTTTGTGGCAAGGATCCTAAAAAGACTAGGTACTTGAAATTCACATCAGTGTTGCGTTACAAGCATCATTTTTCCCATAAGGACAACTGATGAGTAGAATGATACGAAAAATAACAAAGCAGTACACGCTATATCATCATAAAGTGTATGGAAACTTTTTTCTATTAAATTGAACATTTTACGTCTACAACAATCGCGTACCCACTTACGACAGTGTCACCTGTCTGCATGTTGTGCCACGTGAGAATGCACACCTGAGCGGCGCTCTCTGTGCGGGTTACATATTGCATTACATATTCATTACAGTAATCGATTAGGTGCTCAACAAAACCTTAATTCTGTTGTTAATTTATTTGTTTTTAAGTAGGCTATGCTGTGGAATTAACATTAAGGCTTCGTTCACATGCAATGTCTATTTTCTAAATTCTATTTTCTATTTGCGGTATGTCTTAATATGATCACGGTCTGTGGCCTGAATATCCCGCGGCGTAATTACTGGCAGCTCGAGCCAGTTACTATAAGTTACTATAAGTAACTGACTCGCGCTGCCAGTAATTACGCGGCGGGATATTCAGGGCACAGACCGTGATCATAAGATAGCGAAAATAGAAATTAGAAAATAGACATGTGCATGTGAACGAAGCCTAATTTCCTATTCACTTAAAAAGTAAACAACCAGAAAAGCACTCAGAGACCCCATATCTCTGCCAAGGGCTGTACAATTAAATTGTGGTATTTAAAGGCACATTCGCTACACAACAGATTATGGACATCACTGCCCTTTCTTGCAATGGTGGAGAAACCTTTCTTGGATCCTGATGATCATCCTGATCACCGCCTAACGATAATCACTTAAAAGATTTTGACCTATCCTGAAATTTTCAGCAAAATTCGTCCACAACTGTTTGATTTTTGGCTGGTGACAAACAAACAAAAGACAAACTGGTCAAAAGAGGGAGGGGGTACTAGTAAATTCATAACCTTTTTGACTGAGTCGGGAAATACTAGTAATGACCTACCCTAAAATTTATGCTGCTGCAGTATGCTTCTGAAACGTGTTTAAGAAAAAATTATTTGGCAGGGTCATTCCATAGAAAGGGTAACATTGGAATCGTATCCGTGACACACACACATAGTTTGTAATACAGGGGCATTTGCATCACTGTTTAATTACTGTTTCATATCACTTTCAGTCACTGTGATTTCTTTACAAAACGGAGGTTACAATAGCCTTCAATAGATTAGTTTTCCTGTGACCCAAATTTGAAACTAAAGTTATAGTTTGTGTACAGATAGTTTTAAACTAAAAGTAATACTTTGTGTGCAGATAGTTTTGAAAAAAAAAATTTATCCGTTTTGGGAATTGGCTATAGTAATATAAAAGTGAAATATGACAAGTACATTTATTACTAGCAATAGCCACAAAAAGACTTACAACATACTTCTCCCACAAAAATAGTGCCTTAATCACTTATTAGCAGAAAATATTACTTTGTCTGCATAGTCACTACTGTAACATAATACAATGAAAAGCATGAAAAAAAATTTTTAACAAAGATTTACATCTCAAGATTTTGACATAATTTACATCACCATCTTAAAATGGCCACAAATACAAGTTGAGAAATACTACCAGTAATGTTCTGGGAGAAATGAGCCATGTGTACCACCAATCACATTTATTGAACTAAAGACAGACTACAGAACATGCTAACAATGTGGGTCATGAAATGAACTGGTCCTTAGCCAACAATACTGATAAATTTCAGATCTACAGTACCTGCCACAACAATCAACATCTTACATGTATTGAAATGCTTCTTATGAGTACTTTAGACACAACTAGTACTTTATTAAATGTGATTTTCCATTTTCTATCTTGACTCTATATCTTCCAGTCTCCTTTCCAAATCAAAACTAAGTCACAAATAAGATATTTAGAAAACTCTACAAAAATATAGCTAAAAAAAAAGATGATAAAGGAATAGTCATTCTTAAAAAACAAGTTACCGGTAGACTTACAAAATATTAAATCAGGCATGGCCCACTTGCCATTTATGTATCAAAGTTAAATTTAAAACCATCTTTACAAAATTTATGATAGTACATTAATGTACTGATTTCCAAAGTCAAACTGAGCTTTGCCATTCAGTCCTGCACCTTGTATTGAATACAACCTAACTAGTAATCTATGCTCTAAAAGTAACATGTTTTGATAATATCCTAACTAGTAATCTATGCTCTAAAAGTAAGATGTTTTGATAATATCCTAACCAGTACTCTGTGTACTAAAAGTAAGATGTTTTGATAATATCCATCTATTGACATATCTATTGTATTGACAATATATTACTTAGGCTTGCAATTCATGTTTGATAACATATCAAATTATATTTTATGTTATGTAGACATGATAAATATATATTGCATTAAATAAAAGTAGCACAAAATTCAAGCATTAGGTCACTCCTATTGCTCTAAACAAAACAGCAACATATATGTCAACAATACATTAAAATTTTACAAAATGAGATGCAGTTAAATCATCAATAGGACAAATGCTCAATCTTTAAGTTCAGTTATGTTTGAGTGCACAATAAACAGTATTTTGTATGCTGTAACACTTTCCCTTTTTTTCCTTATTTTTTCACCATATATCCACCAATTTAAACACATTATACAAAAAACATTAGTGTTTAAACTAAGGAATTTTCACAAAAATTGTGCTTAAATTCAAAACAGTAATTTTGGTGCATTATATTTAGCACATATATACTGTAAATATAAGCATCATGTGCTATCATATACTATTAAATTGAAAAAAGACTGAGCAATTTTGACCATTTATGGCACAAAAAGAAGGTATATCTATCAGCTGATGTGATACGTGGAGCTTGTTTACCAATATATTTTTATTAATATTTGATACCACCCTAAAATTAAATTTCCCTGATTCACTAAAAGACTGCTGAAATAATACTGTGAATTTCTCTCCTTACTTAATTGTCATTCACACACACAAAAAAAACTTTAAATGCATGTACATAATGACATGTGTAAACATGTAAACAGCACTGAGATGCATGTGTAGGGGGGGTTTAAGAAATGAATTATTACTATTCTTATTGACAACTAAAACGTGTGCCTTACAGTTATCAATCTCCTAGCAAGATATTTCCACTGTCAACAAGACATGTAAGTAACACTAGTGGGCCTGATTTGGTTTTAAAGTGCAATTTAAGACTAAAACTAGGCTGAGGCGATCTTAAAGCTTAAGGAGGGACTCCTAATTTGATCTTAAGACTAAAAACGAACTGAAATGTAATTTTAATTTTTAAAACAAGATACAACTGAGTTAATGTGACACTTACCTACTAAGTAAATAGTGCATTCCTCAATCAACCATTCTGTCAGGACTCAAAGAAAGAGTGGACTAGCAGGCCTGATTTGGTCTTAAAGTGCAATTTAAGACTAAACTAGTCTGAGGCGACAATATTTTTCTTGACTTTTGCTTTTGAAGGAAGTCTTACTTTCTTTTTTCTTTCTTTCTTTGAGTCACCCTTTAGCAAGAAAGCAAAATCAAAAAAGAAAGAAAAAAGAAAGATTTCATTCAAAACAACATTGAAAGTATGCTGCACTAGTACTTCTACAACCAAGTCTTTCCTTGCTTTAGAAATTATCTGAGATAGTGTCTGAATCGCCCTAATCAATCAGGCAATTAGCACTTGGTTGACAAGAGACCACCCTTTGCTACTCATAGAGAGATGAGATGCCATGGTAATACTTCAAATAATAATGTATTTCTTTTACATAATTTTGCTGTCTAGATATTAGATTTTCCTTTTAACACCCTATGATCTGTCCTTGAGGCACGTAACTTCATTCTTAAAAGTATATTTTTTTCATTTGAAAATGCTGGAAAGTAAACATTACTGTCTGCACATTCTATAAAGGTACTTTTGTTTCCAATTCAGACCTTGAAAATTATGAAAATCCCAATTAACAGATGTGGCCATTTAAACAGTCATTATGGTGAACAATTAGAACTAAAAGTATTTGATTAAAAAGGCCTAAAATGAAAAATCCAATAGCAGGAGCAGGTTTAACAATAACTAATGAGTAGGTGAAAATTACTATTCTTTTTAGATAAATACTGCTCAAAAATTGCATTTTATCTGAAGTGAAGAAAGAATGGTCTAAAAGACATACATTTAATATACTATACTGTTATTTCTAAAATAAGTTTAAAATGGGTCACACTGGTCATAATTAATCCCTTGGAAATGCCATCTTTTCTACGCAAAATTCTAACAAGCAGTTCCTCTAAAAGAAAAGATAAAATCTAAGGTCATCTTATTACACTTGACATAAAAATTCAATCTGGGAAGTTGTGCTCCTCCACATTTGCTTCTTTTGTAATCCATCACATTTATCTCAAAATAATGCTAAAGCTACTTCATTAAAAGTTACTAATGATTTTAATATCAGATATCGTGTAACTCTTTTTCTATTTTATATGTTGCCGTTTCCCATGTGATTCCATTTCCTATAGGTTTGTGTCTTGATGGAAACAATACATGTCGAATAAAAGATATTCCATCTCTTAGGCCCCAGAAATGCTTCCAATTTTGTAGACGACCAAAGTTATATGGATTCTTAAACACCAATCCCTGACTTTTCATCCTCTTTTTATCTCTCTTGTTCAGGTGCACTTCAATGCTCGTCTCTGCTACATACAATGCTCTCATACAATGGCCCTCCACTTGATTGCTATCTTCAGCTGTCTGGCTGGAGCCCCAGTCCAAGTTTGGACTGAATGTGTGAGGGGAGATAATTGCTTTACCACTTCAGACCAATTATAGTCTTACTCACTGGACTTTCAGTTCGTTTTTAGTCTTAAGATCAAATTAAGAGTCCCTCCTTAAGTTTTAAGATCGCCTCAGTCTAGTTTTAGTCTTAAATTGCACTTTAAGACCAAATCAGGCCCGCTAGTGTAAACTAAATATGTGTTGTGACCAGAGAGAGAGGCCCAGCAAAAGCTTAATGCCTACAGCTTATATTATAAGGTATCACAGATTTAAATTCTGCCTGGAATGTCTTCTGATTGTCCTTGTTCTCTGGGTGTCTGATCCCCCTCCACCGATTTCTCTCCAAGCAGATACTGGTTAAAGTTCTCAAAGCCTTCCTTGATTCCACGGAGATCATTCAAGCTACAGGGGTGTATCAGCCATGCTCTCCCTTCACCATGAAACTCCAGCTCTAGCTCTTTTTTCAACTGAAATTCAGAGTGATGCATTTACATAAATATTAATACTGACACAGTTCCATGTTTAGTTTTAACTACCATATTGTACAGTATATTAAAAAATCCCACAGTTGATTTTGAATCAGAAATATAATAATTATAATGTATGCAAGACTTATAATGGCTATACAATTCATCTAATCAAGCAACATGTACAAAGGAATAAAATCTTTTAAAATGCTAGTAAGTACAGAATGTTTTCTTTGCCCAAACAGCCATCACCTGTGTCATTTCTTGTTGCTAAATCAATTCCACACTTTTCGCAGTAAACACAGTAAGTAGATAACCATTAGACAACCTTAAACTTACTGTCCAAAGTGACTTTTTAGGACTTAGATATAGCTTGAGATTGAAAACCAGTCTGACTTGAGTCTTTTTACTGAAGTAATACAATTTTACATTTTTGCAATGTGTGTCTCTGACCTCCCATGGGTAAGAAGCCTTGTGCTAGCTACATTTTCTGAGGTTCCATGTTCTTTGTAGTACAAAATTAACCAAAAAAGCACTCAGAGTGTAGACCCCCTCCAAGGACTATACACTGATAAATATTGGTAGCTGAGAGCAAATTTATTGCACAATAGGTCTCACAATGATGACGAAAGCTCAAAAAATTTATTGGATAAAAATAACTATCTGGATAACTTATCACCACTAAATTTTCATCACCTTAAAATATGTCCATTTCTAACAAATACTAAAACAATTCATTAAAATCCATCCATAACATTGTATAAGGCTTGTTACAAACAGAAAGACAAATAAAAGTGAAAACATAATCTTCTTGGTGAATGTAAAAATTGGTGATGATTATACTGCTTAGTGTTATGTAACATAACACCAAAATTGACAATTTTTTTAAAAGTGCACTGCCATATGGTAAACTTCATAAAAGGCAAACTGTGTCAGTTCTAATACCTTTTTTTAGTTATTTTCTGTTAAATGCCTGTACATTTTACAGTTTTGCTGTCTTATTTTTAATGCAAGTCTTGTAAGAAGTTTTGCATTCATAAAGTTTATGACATGTTGGTGCAAGCCTGACTACTAAGTACTTGAAGGACAATATGTTATAATCCTAATATCAATATATGTAAGGGTGACATTTTTACCTGTTCAATGCTTCTAGCACCATCTTTCTCTTGGTGACATGCTAACACCAGTAAAGGTAACTTGTCTAGTGTTGGGTTGGCCAATGCATTACTCAATTCTGTCTTCACTATCTCTAGATCAGATTCTGGGCAGGCACTATCCAGAACAAATATAATCCCTTTGGCACCACTGAAATAATGCTTCCAGTATGGACGAACACCTTCACCACCTAAAAGGACATTTTTAACATGAAAATAAAGAACAATTTTTATTACTTCCGTATATATATATATATATATATATATATATATATATATATATATATATATATATATATATATATATTCCTCTTTATTAAGGAATTACAAAGAAGTAATATCCCATCATTTAAGAGGAACTACAAGGTATTTTCTAATCCCTTTGTGCATTTGCTAAAAGTATAGACCTAAGTTTAACAAATTTAAGAAATGAAACAGAATATATTTCACTTTTCTGAAATATTTAATTACCTTAATCTGGCATATAAAGTACAACATACCTCCAATTTCTTTCACATTCAAAATGCAGTTTTTGAATTGAAGTGCTTTTATGCTGAAACCTGAAGAATGAAAATAAATTGAACATAAGATATGCTTATTAAAACTTTATGGAAATTTGATACCTATTTGACAATGCATCAGCTGTGGTAGCCCTGGCAATATTTTTTGCATAGCCAAATCTCTAATTTTTTATCACTTTTTTTCTCCAAGTGGTTTAAATTTGACCAAAACAAGTCAAATCAACTCAATCAAGTCTGTTTGAGCATTTGGCTACAGTATATATGGAAGTGTTAGTGCTAACCAAGATCAGTCTAAAACCAATGAAAATATAATGTAATCAATATGATAATAGGAAGAATGTATTACCATAGTAACATATACTTGGACATACCTATAGTAGGCTGTATATCTTGTGTACTTTCACCACTAATCAGTGCCAGAAGTGTGCTCTTTCCTGCCTTAGCTAGACCAATACAAACCACAGAGATCTCAGGTCTGGGAGGGGGTGGGCTCCTACAGCACAGTCTGCGGAACAACTGTGGGCATAAAATGAAAAAATATGTATGTTGGAGCTCATGGATATATATTTTTTTATATTGTCTCTTTTCACCGCTCTTTTCAATTGCATTCATTACTGCATTGTAATATATTCGACTCATGTCAGAAATAAAGATTTACATGTATTTATGGCCATCAGTTTTCAATCATATTATTATTATTAGAATATTACAATTTACATTATGATAATTTATATACATAACGTATATGCACTAAAGCCATTTTATGGTGCTTATTATACACTGGCAAAAGTCAGACAATTCCATTTTTAAGAATAAATTTTTTTGTTCAATCAACAGCTCTATATTGAAATGATATACATTGTACCTCCAATATTTGATTGAAAATAAATTATTCTTAAACCATAACACAGCTCATGAAATTCTTCTCGGGGATTCCATTTTTTACACTTAAATTCTCTTTTTTCTTTATTAAAGGAATAAATGACAAAGATTTTTTTGATCTAGTGATCAAATTAATTCTTCGAGTGAATTAATACAAACTTAGAGCTACCTGTCTGTACTTACTGTGTAAATAGATATTCTACAAAAAGCACACCCAAGCTGCAAATATTCTAAAACAATAGACATTATGCTATAATAAATTATGTTATCCAATTCCCGCTAAGATTACAGCATCATTTCTACCAGCGGCAGTCCTTTCTTAAGAAAAATCAGCTGACAAAAATGTCAACATTTCACCATTTGTCATTTCAAAATGGCCGGAATGTTTGGTCACGTGACCCAATTTTTTACCGAGATTGAAATCATGTGACCTTCACCTTGACGTCATACTTGAAACACAGGAAGATGGCCGAAGCAGCAGTGGAAAGCCCAAGCAGGTTTTACTGTCATCATTGCTCTGTAGAAATACTTCCGAAATTACCGGTAAGCTGTAAATTCATAAATTCTGTTTATGTTTATTTATTAGAAACTGTTTGTGGAAAACTGTTTCGTCACTCACACTTATAACTGTCATAACACAGATAAAATAAACTGACAAACCAAGTTAAGATTGCGATTAGTTCCTTGAGTTATATTTACAACGTGTTTAACATAAAAAGTATATGTATATATATGTCGAGATATGAGTTGCTCGTGTAAAAAAATTCCTTATTTTCAATATTATTTCATCTTTACAAAACGTTTATTGCTACAAGTATTATTTTGTACGTTGACCTTTTAGAAACAGTTTATTCAAGACTCTGTACCAATGCACACATTCCAAATCGTTAAAATCTTCTTTATTTCACATCAGAATTCATTAATATCTCTCACTCAAGTATTGATGTATCATCCATGTCAATTTTATTTTACAACTATTAAGATTTATAGTATAAAAAATCTGGACTCAGGTGATCAGGATAAGAGGCCATAGTGTTGTGGGTCTTTCCTGTAGCTATTTGGTTTCTGGAGGTGGATATCCCCCTTTTTTATTCGAAGGAGGGGGTCAACTACTTGTTTTAAAGCTGTTATGTGACAGGAATTGAAAACCAAACACATAATAAGTGATATTCATTGTATTATTTGTTGCTGTTTACAGGAGTATGTCTGTCCACGATGTGAAGAAGGATTCATAGAGGAAATGTCAGTTACAGACAAGTAAGTGCCCATGCTTCTGCAAGGACCTTTATCTTACAACATATCCTTGGCAAGGTGCAAAAAAACAGGCAGAAAGAAGATTTTTCCATCTGAAATTATATTAAAAGCCATCCAGGACTTTAAGAAAAATGACTATTATAAAATGAAGAAATTATATTTGAACAGCCTAAGAAGTTTGTAAATTAAGTTTGTGGTGATGCAAATATTTCAGTGTTTACACTTGGATTAACTTGAACTATGTAAGAAATGTTTGAAATATTAAACTTCATCCTAGCAGAATTTCAGTTTTTAGGAATTGAGAATACATAATGCTACCTATCTTTCTTAGCTCTATAATTCAGGGACCATAAATCTTTCCTCATTATGGGTACATAGTATAATATATTTTGTACTGTGGTAATGACTTGATCTTTTCAATGGGCAAATATTATCAAACTTTCAGATACATGATTTTATAATCACAAAAATTATATTTCTATATGGTGTTTATGGAGCTTTTTACTGCATAGAATAAAACTACTCTAGTAGCCTGCTTTTTAATTTTGTTGCTACCATTCAGTAGAATCTTTTAATGTTAAGATATTATGACTTAAAAATACAGTATCTGTAAAATAAACAATTTTCTGCCATTGAAAAGATGGCGCAATTACTGTATGGTACATTGACTGTTATCTTTATTCCATTTTAGCACATTATCTGAAGAAAGACAAGATCCTTCACATCAGCTGGCAGAGGTAATACCATTTCTATAACAACAGTTGTGACTGATTTGATGAATCTTAGTCTGATCTATATGTGTACCAGTAAATATGTGGAGTGCATGTGTAAGAAAGAAAGGTTAATAAAATAACTCTTGGAAGTTTGTATGTAATCCTGAATAGGTTGTCTTTGTGTGTAATTTCAATTTCAATATCTTGGAACCTCTCTCTTCATTCTGCAACATCTATCAACTCCATGCTAAATGCCAGGGAAATTTAAGGCAGGGCAGTAAATATTTGTAAATGTATTTTTTGTCAGAGAGAATGTCCTAATGGAATGTAAAGGTAATGTGTTCATTTGCTGGTCATCTTGTCTGTTTTGGATCATTAGCTTGGGCAATGTTAGTAATTTGTTATTGCTCAGTCAAATCACTTATTTTTTATCACTTTTTTCTCCAGATTGTTTAAATTTGACTCAAACAAGTCATAACCAACCCTACTTTTTTTGAGCCAATTTAAGTAAGTTTTAGCATTAGGCTAAATTGGCGAGTGTTAGTGCTACCCCAGACTAGATTCTCTTGGTATCCCGAGGAGTTCGTAGACTAAAACAGTAAATATAAAAATAAACATAAAAGACTCCATATTTTGAGGTTAATACTTTTTTTTATCTTTAAAAAAAAAAAAAAACTGTGACCATTTTTTTTTTCAGCTGTGGGGAAGGACATTTCTTGATTCTATACGTCGCCAAACAGAGGATCATGATGAAGATGTATTTAGTAATAGTCGTCCTCCACCACAGGTCAGTTTTCATCAGGTCTTCCCTCGTCCCAGGATGGCCTTTCATAGGACGGCAGCCAGGGGGACAGACAGACACCCAGCTATTGATGGGTAAAGTAGAGGAACTTTGAACATTTGTATTTAATAGATCACTGCTGCATAGTTCAGGTGATTTACCAGATTCAGATGCTTGAAAAATAAAAGTCAAAGCTATTCATACTTGCAGTGTTGTGTTACCTCAATCTTGTGTGAACTTTATTTTTGGTTTACCAAGTTCAGTTTGAACTGTTTGGTAAAGCTTTCACACAGGTTTAGAAGCACTCTAAAAGAAACTGGTAGTTTTCAAATCTTACTGCTTTGATATGCTTATTTCTGCATCTTTATTCCTGCATTTTTGTGACAAAAGTGGGGGATCTTGATATGCTACCCGTCTGAATTCCTATCTCCTCATAGACAAATGAGAGAGGAACTTGAAACATAGGGGACTGATAGACCTATAATTAGGTAGGTTTGGTAAGATTGGGAGTGGAGCTGTCCCTGGGGTGGGAGTGTCCCTGGGATGGAGTTGTCCCAGGGTTGGGGCTGTGCCATAGTTGGGAGTGGTGTCCTAATATAATAATCAATAGTTGGGAGTGGTGTCCCAGAATAATTATCAATAGTTGGGAGTGGTGTCCAAGTATAATAATCAATAGTTGGGAGTGGTGTCCCAATATAATTATCAATAGTTGGGAGTGGTGTCCCAGTATAATTATCAATAGTTAGGAGTGGTGTCCAAGTATAATTATCAATAGTTGGGAGTGGTGTCCAAGTATAATTATCAATAGTTAGGAGTGGTGTCCCAATATAATTATCAATAGTTAGGAGTGGTGTCCAAGTATAATTATCAATAGTTAGGAGTGGTGTCCCAGTATAATTATCAATAGTTGGGAGTGGTGTCCAAGTATAATTATCAATAGTTAGGAGTGGTGTCCCAATATAATTATCAATAGTTAGGAGTGGTGTCCAAGTATAATTATCAATAGTTGGGAGTGGTGTCCAAGTATAATTATCAATAGTTAGGAGTGGTGTCCCAATATAATTATCAATAGTTAGGAGTGGTGTCCAAGTATAATTATCAATAGTTAGGAGTGGTGTCCAAGTATAATTATCAATAGTTAGGAGTGGTGTCCCAATATAATTATCAATAGTTAGGAGTGGTGTCCAAGTATAATTATCAATAGTTAGGAGTGGTGTCCCAGTATAATTATCAATAGTTAGGAGTGGTGTCCAAGTATAATTATCAATAGTTAGGAGTGGTGTCCAAGTATAATTATCAATAGTTAGGAGTGGTGTCCAAGTATAATTATCAATAGTTAGGAGTGGTGTCCAAGTATAATTATCAATAGTTGGGAGTGGTGTCCCAATATAATTATCAATAGTTAGGAGTGGTGTCCAAGTATAATTATCAATAGTTAGGAGTGGTGTCCAAGTATAATTATCAATAGTTAGGAGTGGTGTCCCAATATAATTATCAATAGTTAGGAGTGGTGTCCAAGTATAATTATCAATAGTTAGGAGTGGTGTCCCAGTATAATTATCAATAGTTAGGAGTGGGGTCCCAATATAATTATCAATTGTTAGGAGTGGTGTCCCAATATAATTATCAATAGTTAGGAGTGGGGTCCCAGTATAATTATTATCAGTTGGGAGTGGTGCAGTTGACATTGTGGCAAAGTGCAGGGATATGTGATGTTTTTACATCTGCAATATCTGGTGTTAATCTTATGTTTTTATATTTTTCTTATTTACAGAATCCTTCACCAAATTCTTGGAGGGTTATTAGGTGGACAAGCAGTTTTAGCAGGAGGTGTTCCATTGTAAGTCTTACATTAAAATGGTATATAATAACGATTATTATTATTATTATTATTATTATTATTATTATTATTATTATGCACAGTTGTTTTAGTCTATACAATTATTTTAGAACAAAGCACCCCAGGTTGTATATATGTAATTGTATTCTCTGGTATTTGTGGTCTAGTATAGAGTGTATCTTATTGTATTTCAGTGGTGTCATCCATGGTAACCCTGGGGATTATGCCTGGGGGTCGGGAGGGTTAGATGCTATCATCACACAGGTAATACAAGACTCTAAGTCTATTTGTTATTCATTTTCATGCAATATGTTTTACAATAGCTATTTTCATGTATCTTGAAAGCACTTGAGAAACGGTATTCTTTGAATTTGATCTGGTGTGAAATTATGAAGTGAAGGTATGATACACACAAATGCTGCACATTCACTACAAATAAGGCATGTTCACTTTTTTTACAGCTTTTAAATCAGCTGGAAGGGGTCGGTCCGCCCCCAGCTTCTACAGAAAAAATAGCTGCTATTCCCACTGTTAGCATTACACAAGATCTTGTGGGTAAGTTGTGAAAATTGCTTGAGAAATCAAAAGTACATTTTATGGACAAACAAGAAGGTAATATTTATGTGCTATATCTTTTCTCTTATTTCAAGTTTTATAAGATGTGTAGCTGGAATGAAAAGCTGATATTTTTGTTTTTTGTTTGTGTCTTTAATTTAGTACTATGTGAAAGTGTAATATTTATTTTGTTTTTTTAGTTTAATTATGTAATATGTAATTTTCTTTAGATGGGTTATGGTATATATACACACACACACATCCGCTGTACGTGAATTGAGGGACTAATTGCATTTTTTTTCCAGATAAAACTGTGCAGTGTTCAGTTTGCATGGAAGATTTTACACTTGAAGAAGAAGCTAGAAAATTACCTTGTAATCACTACTATCACAGTGCCTGTATAACACGATGGCTAGAAATGGTAGGTTGATCAAAATCTGCAAATATTTTGTTTTATGAAATAGTCTAACTGCTATAGATAAAAACTTCATGAGTGGTGTTGTATTAATAGATCTCTGGAAAGCATTTGATTTGGTAAATTTCTTTTAAAGATACTAAAATTGTATCTGTGTGCTGCTTTAACTGTTATATGGTTCAGCTCTAAACTTAAGGCCAGAAAAACACAAACTGTATTTAGAAATCATCTTTGTGATCCAATGCCCATCACCTGTGGAGTGCCTCAAGGACCCATCCTGGGGCCACTTATGTTCCTTCTCTTTATTAATGATCTCCCATTCAACACTGAACATGGTGAAATCAGTGCAGATGATACGACATTGACAGTAGCCACAAAAACAACATCTGAACTAAACCAGAAACAAAGCTGGGATGTGAAAAATATTATAAAACGGTAGCCGATGTCAAAAAAAGTAAATGTATGCTCTTTACTACAAGACAAAAACAGAAACATTTACCTGAAAACAGTAAGAAAATACATGTGATTTTTAATTGAAAACTGATTGACCATGTGAGCTCCATAAAACTTCTTGGGGTTACAACATGTGATGACCTGTCTTTAGAATATCCATACAAGTTAAGTTAGAAAAGTTATTTAGAAAGTTATTTAGAAAACTCAGAAACCAGTAGAAATGAGAAAACTTTTCTGTAAGGCACATGTAACTCCTCATCTGGACAACTGCTCCATTATGTTCAGACGTTTATGATTATGTCCAGAAATTTATGATTATGTCCAGATGTTTATGTGTCAAAAACTTCTATTACAGCATGGAACCTGTCCAGTTTGCCGAAAAACATTAGATGGTGAAGACACAAGTGACAAGGACTATCTTCCCCCTCAGCCAGTCTCAGCTAGCAATCAGTTAGACAGCAGTCAGTCAGGGTCATCAAGTGCATCTCCAGATAATGGCAGTCAAAACCAAATGGACACTCAGCCAAATTAGTGTTTTTGTTGAAATTTCTATTCCTGTATTTTTTTTTTCTTTTGCAAAATGATGTTTGAACTGAATACTGGCTGGAAGATTGTGAAATGACATAGAACTTATTCAGCAATTATAGCTGTATTACTTTCCCTGCTTTTCCTAGGTGTCCTGTTTTTTTTTTCTTTTTTTAACTGCGGACTGAATCACACAAGAATGTAATTTGTGGATCCTTCAGAGTGCCATTTCATCATCCACTAGAATTTTTGTAAGCATAAGTCAATTTTACTATTATTTGAGATTACTTACAACTCACAAAGTCCAGTAATCACAGGTTGTGAAATATTGAAGCTTTGGCTCGTAAGGTTCTGGAGAGGATGTAGTGCTAGAACTCATTGGGGCACCTCATTCAAAGCATGATGAACTAAGGCTTCTCCTAGTGTATGATTATACTCCTTGATGAGTGTAGGATTATACTCCTTGATGCGTATAGGATTATACTCCTTGATGCGTGTAGGATTATACTCCTTGATGCGTGTAGGATTATACTCCTTGATGCGTGTAGGATTATACTCCTTGATGCGTATAGGATTATACTCCTTGATGCGTGTAGGATTATACTCCTTGATGAGTGTGTAATATTTAAAGATGGTCTGTTTAGTTACATTGACACTTAGAGTGTGGTGTTCCCTGTGTAGCCAAACACCTTTGTTAATGGGAGTATGTTTTGACTGTGAGATCTCAACCTTTAAGAAAAATCTTGCTCTACATTTGTGCATTTGTTCTTCTAGTTTCCATGTGGCAAAAATGACCATGCTTCCTTTAGGACAAAGACTGCAAGATACATGCTCAACATATTTATATGGGTGAAAGCTGTTTCATGTAGAACTAGATCAAAATACGAACATGGGGAACATTTTGGAGGTACTGAAGGTCCAAAAGGACCTGAACTACAAGATATCTGCAGGTTCTCCTAGTTTTGTGCAGATCCATAAGTTATTGTTTATCTAGGGGTCAATTTTATATATTGTATTTTGACATAAACCTTGTCCAGAGGAGCTGCATTATCAAGAATGGTGCCGGTCCTGTGGCTTTTCAAACAGTCATGACAGCTTTGACCAGTGGTTTTACTGTCTGCAAAATGTACTCGACTTCTTCCTCTTTTAGTACCAAAGTTCTGTTAAAAAGCACAGAAACTTTGTTATTATATACTATTGTCATATCAGGCAACATTTTTCTGAAAACTTAGCTTAACATTTTAAGTTATTAGTGGATACAAGGTACTTCCTTGTTTTGATATATCTTCAAATTCTAGCTGTCACTGACTGATCTTTAACAATGGCCACATCTTCTTTATATCAAATAGTCTCCTGCTTGTGTGCAGTCACTTAGTTTATAACATGTTTCATAATAATACCGTAACTGTATGTTAAGATGGAAATTCCTTAAAGAGTGCATGTATTTTAACCTTTCAAAGAATATCTTGTTGGTAAGATGTGATATGAACAATGTACATACCTATTTTGCAATGCAACATTTTAAACCTATTCTGTATGAAACTACTGAATATACTTAATACACTTGAAATGCTATGTACCTTATTTTTTAATTGTATAAAATATGCACTTTTTATTTATTTATATTTTGGTATAACGTACTATCAATAGTCACTGTAACACAGCTTAACCTGCTGGCCCTAGCTACACACGTTTACAGTGCTTATCTCATAAGTATTTATGAGGAAAAGGATCCTGTGACATGCGTAAACATTAATTGAAATGTGAATCTGTTATAATATAGCTTGCCTCTTTAAAAGATATTATTGATAATAAAGACAGTTTTCATCAGAAGAATTTAATATCCACCACCATTCACCTTCAGCAGTACCATCCTTCATCTCCTGAACCACCTTTCATCTTTGACAGTACGCCCTTTTATCTTTGGCTATACCACCCTTCACCTTCGGCAGTACCACCCTTTATCTTTGGCTATACCACCCTTCACCTTCGGCAGTACCACCCTTTATCTTTGGCTATACCACCCTTCACCTTCGGCAGTACCACCCTTTATATTTGGCAGAACAACCTTTTATCTTCAACAGTACAACCTTCATTTTCTCCTGTACCACCCTTCATCTTCAGCAGTACTAGCTTTCATCTGATTGTCTGTTCCGACCGTTCTCTTTGCCAGAACAACCCTCATCTTCTGTACTTCCCTTCATCCTGGGCAGTGCCACCCTTCATCTTTGGCAGTATTACCCTGTATCCTGGGCAGTACCACCCTTCATCTTTGGCAGAACCACCCTTCATCTGATCAACTGTACAATCCTTCCTGTGGTCGGCTGTACCACCTTCCATCTTCTCCTGTACCACACTTCACATTGATCAAGTATCACACTATTTTTTATGCTGATTGCTGATTGTGTGGTTGAATATCTTAAGATGTCCTCTTTCTTAGATACTGTATTCAAGGTGTGAATTCACCATCTTAGATACTGTATTCAAGGTGTGAATTCACCATCCACTTGATTCAAAACCATAGATGATGGATCTTAAAGATACAAACTGTTCATTATTTATAGCCTCTAAGTTGAATTTGTTTATCATCCAATCTAGAAACCATTCATAAAAACTTTTTTCATAGAACACTAGATACTGCTAAATCTGATATGATATGCAATTGAACATAAAAAATGTACGTGTGCATGCAGGTCCAAAGCCAGGTTGAATAGTGATGAGACAAATTTGTCTTTTGCTGGTACACCATTTTGCATGTTAGAATGGAATGCCCCATCCGTTTCTTAGGGCTAGCCTCATCAGTTAAATTTTATCTGGTAAAATTTAAGATTTGTCCCTCTCAAATTGAGCTGCAGGTACAATTCAGAAGTGATGTTTACATGTATAAGCATATTTTTGATTAGTTCTGAATCTTCTCTCTCAAACCCCTCTTTTGTTTGTTCGGTAAGCAAATTTTCAGTTGGGAGGCTTACGGTGAAGAAAAATGAAAAGGAAGGGGGATATCCCCCCTCCCCCCTTTCTTCTTGAGCAAAAGGGATTAAAAGTGGTATGAAAAAGGGGAGGGGCTGAGTCAGTAATGTTTATCTTTTGACTGACCAGTCAATGAAAATTACTTAAAGTAAACTGTGTCTCTCATATGTTAAATAGTGCTTTTGTATGGAAATCATATTATAAATACAACTATTTCTTAAATAAAAAAAAAATAAACTTTTGTATCATTGCAACTGTAGTTCTGGTTGCGTGGCGGTTGAGACCCGTTGTGTTAGGTGAGAAACAGAAGTCATTTCCGCATTGTCATGCGTCATTTTACTTCCGGTAGCTGTGTCGACTGTAAGGAGGGGTAAGTCATATTATTTATTAACATGATATTTGGCTTTTTCATTGAGGTTTAAAGCTAAGAATAGAGGTACGTATTGCTTAAGCTAGCCTTACGATACCTAGTATCCCCTCTTAACTGAATATGTCCTCTGTAAAGATTCCCGTGCCATTTAACGCATCGGGAGTCTGCTAATAAATAAACAAACTTCAAGTAAATTGTAAAGTAAGGTGTTACTCGGATACACTTGTTGCATCGAAAGTTTTTTTGAATGAAGAAGAATAAGACCTGAGTCGGGTGCATTGCAGAGATGGTCAATTTATGTAACAGTTTCCCCGTACACACACATGCTGTAGGTTTTCTCTCAGGTATGCGGGGTATGTCTAACTACCGTGTATGCAGGCAGCTCTAGTGTGACCTAGATAAATGGAAGTTACGCTATGTAATGGGGAAGTTATCAGGTGGAACTCGTGTTTTTCATTTTCCCTTCACATATCCTGTATGGACTTGATATAGTTATTAAGATACTGAAGTAATTTTGTGTACTAGAAATCAGTTGTCCCTGTGATTTGCAGTTAGGTGTGATGGACTGATCCCCCACAAACCTCCCACATAAATAGACATGGATTTAACACTCCTTTTTTACATTTTCTAAAATGCATGATGTGTGCTTACATGTGGAAGATATAGTTGCACATAACTGTAAAATGCTGGTCAGCTAAGGCAGCTTCCTTGATACCAGTGCTGTCACATCTAAAATACTTACCTCTCACCTGAAGATACACTGTTAAAATGTCAACCAGTTTAACTGCCAGCTGTCCTGTAAATAATGTAAAGTTCTACTGGACAACCAGTTATGCATCCATGAAATCATACACCTGACTGTTTAAGACTGCCATTCACTTCCAAATGCAGAAAATATGTCAAATCACGTTTTTTAATTGCCAAGAAACAAACTGCTACAAAGGACCATGTTCAATGGAAGTTTCTTGGTCAATGTTTTAGTGCATGAGTTTTCTTTTCTGGGCAGGAAACAATGCGACATGAGTTTTTTTAATGTGTGTGTGTGTGTGTGTGTGTGTGTGTGTGTGTGTGTGTGTGTGTATGTGTGTGTGTGTATATAAAATTTGAAATTAAGCAATTTTATAATTGTAATTTTATAATTATAATTAATAATTGTTTAAAGTCTAAAGTCCATTAAAAATGAACAAAATTTATTAAGTAATAATTTAATAAATGTAAATGCAATATTGATAAGAGTAAAATGAATTGAATAAATGTGTAAGATATTAAAATAATAAATGTAAATTGCAATGTTACTAATAAGGATCCATTTAAAATCCAGTCAATTCAGCTATACATTTGCAGAACGAGAAAAAATGTTTAAAGTGTATAAAGAATTGTATATTTACAAATATATGAAAAAAAAAGAACATTTCCTCTCTGCCGCTGTTTTGTTTCTGTTAAATATATGAAATAAGATATGTAGCCATCAGTTCATAAATCCAATGGCATATCTTGTCTTGTTAGTTATTATCTTTATAGTAGGAATTAAGTTGTCCATAACCAAGAATTAATATCAGGTATCTATTTATAGCCTCCCTGTATATGGCCCTATAATTGAATGCACACATAATGTGATGCTGTAGATAAGGTAGTATGTAGGGTGCAGGTCTCTCTTGTGTTTACCATGCTAGTAGTTCTCTAGGTTGATGAGAGAGAAAAAAATTATACCATCATATCATTGTACCCCGAATTAACATTAAGGAAATGTGAAAGATGTTGGTTATTTCTGCTATGAGTATGAACTGTTTTTCTACTATTGAGATTCTTCACTACTGGATTGAAGTGTGTATTTAAAGGAGTGTTTTAAATTAAACCAGCTGCTATTGGAATTTTTTTTGTAAGTAGAATACCTGGAAGCCATAAATTAAGGTATGTTAGAAAGTGATGAATCCCATGCATTAGTAGCAGTTGCATCCTTCTTTTCTATAGCTTGACAACAATATGTAACCCACTATCTAAATGTTCTCAGGAAGAGACCCCTAATGGCAGCCCACTATTATTAAATTTGCAATAACAAAGCCAGATTACTCCATGTGATAAGGATGATGTCATCTGCTGTGGTTTATAACTCTACCTGTCTGGTGAAGTTAGACCAGGTTACTCCAGATGTATACCAGTGTTATAGACCCCATTCCCATAGATTTTAGATCGATCTATCCCTGAGGGGAGTCTCACTAGATTACTGTCAACTTAGCCGGCTTAAGCATCTGTCCCGCCTACTAAAAGCTGTAAGGGGGTAATTAACTATGGTGACCGCTCAGCTGACTGCAATTTAGCGTGAACTCTCGGGGAGTTAGGTCGATCTAAATCTAAATCTCTGGATTGATCTAAATCTCTGGGAATGCACCCATAGTGATGGTCTGTCCGTCTGGTCAACCATTTCCTGTATACCAGTGTTACAGTGATGATCTGTCTGTCTGGTCAACCATTACCTGTGGTCATTTCCTCACTGACCAATCACATGGGGTCATCCAGTGGCTTGGCTCCTACTGAAAGTACTTGAGGCTGATTTAAGTTGACCTTATGTATATACATAAGTGCATCATGTGAAAATATGTCATTAGAAATCTTACATTTGAGTTTTATATTAATTAAAAGAGAGAGACTTTATTTCTGTTATGGTAGTTTTTGACTTTAAGGGGAGAGGGATGCCAGACCTAAAGTGCTTTGTGTGGGAGGTCGCTCTGGTCTTAAAATATAACCACATTGTTGACTGAGTATGACTCAATGCAATTTTGTGTGCTCATAAACAGATATCTAGACTCCAACAAAGCAGGAAATTGCAGAAGACAAATCACAATTTACACTCAATGGGCAATAAATGCCCAAAGACTTATTGGTAAAGAGCTCTCTGTCAAATCAAATTGCAATGATGCTGTACCAAGAAAACAGGGTTGCAACATTTGCTAGGGAAGATATGCCAAAGGATGATGTCACTGCTTTTGTTTCTTGAAAACCCTTGATCAGATTGAAGTACAGTCCTGCTTTTGGAAGAATCTTTCTGCAGGCTGACCTGTCATTACCCGTTATTGTTTGCTGCTGTTCCTGTATACATATTTATGGCTGCTGTGAACAGAGATAGTTCATAAATTGCATCTGTGTTGGTGAAATGATAGAATTAATATTGATATAGGCTTACCAACTCTATATCAGCCATTTCTTAATTACTTGTGACTTTGCTTTGTCCTTGAATATTTCAACAATGACACAGATATAATGAAACAGTGCCATAGCCATCAACTTTCTTTGTTCAAAGAGATGATTTCATACAACAAAGAAAGAACATTAGGATGATATGTTTTTGCAGTGCAGGTAAGAACATCATTCAGAAGAGCAAGATAAAAGGGAGGTGGGGGCAGGGTTTGTCTGCAGTGAGTTCCTAGAGTATCCATCTGGTACATGTTAACCTGGGGGAGGGGGGTGCAGGGTTTGTCTGCAATAAGTTCCTAGAGTATCCATCTGGTCCATG